GCATACATATCTCTGTACGTATGTACATATAAATATATATTTATTTACACATGTAAAAATGATGGGCACGTGCATAAATATTTCATATTGATATTTATGGAATGTAATCGATTTCCTAATGGAAAATAACTAATTTAAAGTAAATAAATATATATATGTACAAGCATGGCAAATACGTTTTTTTTACGTACATACATATGTATATTTCATATAAAACTTGCACTTTTTCGTAAATTCAGCACACTAAAGTGATTTTTACAATCTCATTTTGATTATAACAAATATGGAACACACTTACGTATGCCTGTATATATATATGTACATATATAGGTATTAGGCAGATTTTAACGTCCATGCAGTTTTACAATATTATGTGGCATTGATAAGCAATACAATAATAATAATTGTTAATAACAAAGTCAGTAAGAAGGTTGTAAGCTGGGAATTTTTCAATAATTTTATTTTTAATTAATTTAAAAAAAAAAACGTAGTTATGTAAAAATGTAAATATATTTGTGGCATGTAGAAAGATCATTGTATCGAGATAACAAAGAAGTAAAAATTCAAAAACGCTCAGTGTAGTATTGGCAATAAATAATTTCATCATATTATCTAATTTTTAATTATTTAATTAATTGTTTCAGAAAAAATGCTGAGACTTCACAAAATATTTCCACTAAATTTTAGAAAATAAAATACTAAATAAATTTTGGATTTTTTTTACATTTTACTTGTCTTTAATTTTTATTTCTTGTTTTATTTTATTTTATTTTATAGTTTTATTTTATACTGATTTAAAAAAAAAATAAAACTAAAATAAAAAGCACGATGCCCACTCTCCTTAGTTCTTTTTATTTCTCGATACAAACTAAACATTAAAAATTAAATATAATTGAAAATAAATTGTTAAAATATAATAAATAGTAGTAAAAAATTATATTTATATATTTTATATTTTTTAATAATATTATTTGGTTATAATATTTTGTAAGCATTTTTGAAACGTTATAAATATTTTTACTATGATACAACAATAAAAACTTAAATACAGCAAAAGAATATTTAATAATAAAACATTTAATAAAAACACAAATATTTTCAAAAAAGTGGTTTCAAAATTTATTATTTTACGGGAATTTTCAAAATCATATAAATAGCAGAGAAATATTTAGTACTAAAAAATTAAATAAAAATTATTTTTTTAATAAATTTTTTTTTTTTCTTTATATATATATATATATATTTCCTTTATTTATATATATTATTATATATAAAAAAGAAATTATATATATTTATATAATGATGCAAAAATAAAAATTGAATTACAAATTTTTATAATTTTGTAAAGTATTGCTCGACAATAAAAAAATATTTTTCAAATAAATTGTTGTTTTTTACTTTATATATTATATATATATAAATATATGCAGCAAGAAAAAAATTAATTATAAAATTATATAATTTTAAAAATATTATGCAACAACATTATTTTACTGGTATGTTGATTGTTTGTTAAATATGTCTGCAAAGCAAAACAATATTTAGTATTAAAAAAAATGAAAAAAAATGTTTATTTAAATAAATTGTTGAAAATAATTGTCTGTAATATGATTTTGTAAGCTTTGTTAACGTTATAAACACTGCAAAGATAAAAGTATTAAATTAAAAAAAATTTATATTTAAAAATAAATTAAAATATTAGTATTTTTTTAATTGTTTTAAAATATAAAAATTTTTTAAACAATTATTTTTCAATAATTCAAATAGAAACTAAAATTAAATATTTTTCATTTTTGTTTGAATATAATTTTTTTGATTTTTTTCTACTTTAAAAATTATACATATTAAAGTATTTCTGATAAATTTTGTAGTAAAATCTTTGATTTGATGAAAATCATATTCTAATCGTATAACGATTCAGTCTAGAATTAGTGGTGACATAATTGTGAGTTATTTAAATAAAACACTGTAGTTGGTGAAAAAGAGAAACTCATGTTTATGTCATTTTAAAAATTCACATTTCAATAAAATTGCAACAAAAGTGTGAATAAAACTGAAAATTTTGTTAGCTGGAATATCTTTATTGATGCAATAAATCTATTGATGGTTTATAAAGCCCATAAATGACATAATTGTTAGCACAAAGTTTGAAGTGTGACATTGTTGATAATTTCAAACTAAATATTAAGCTTTGGAGTGTTCCCTGCATCTAAATTAATTATTATTAAAAAAAATTTATATTTATTATTAAATAAATGAAAAATTGGAAATGACTCAAAGAGAAATGCAGAAACAAATTCGTATCCTTTTCCTTTTGAACATTTTCCTTGATTCTTTCTCCAAATAAATAACTAAATAAAAAAATAATACAGCATAAAATACCAGCAAACACCCCACTGTGCGCAGTGAGCATACGATCAGTTGATAGTACAATACCATATGTATCTATGTATGTATATTTGTATAGATTTTAGTAATCACGTGTTGAGCGCATGGCACACGTTTGTTGTTTGTACATTTTTACTGCCATTGGAAAAATACAATGCAAACGGCTTTTATGACTTACAGCAACGCACATACATATCCACACACACACACACACAAAAGCAATACATACAATACATACAAACAAAGAAATTAGAAGTGCAGGATGGTCTCAGCTGTTTGAACGATCGGATGGATGCACAACAACAACACAATGAACGAGTAAACAAACGAACTATATTGCATCGGCAAAGAGAAGAAGTAGCATAAAATCAAAAAGTATAAACGAGAGACAATTTTATGGTTTCCCTTTGTCTTTTTTTTATGCGCTTCATAAATAAAAACGCACCAAATCGTACAACAAAACAAAAATGTTCCGAAGAGCTGCATGTTTGTTGTTTGAGTGCGTCCAAGCCACATCTGCATCGCCGTGTCAGTATTGTTTGGCAGGTAGAGAAGTAGGTTGCCTTTACTGTATATTACATAAATAAATGGACTACGTATAAAATGCTTGATAATAATATTTCATGAGATAAGTTTTTTTAACTTATAAATTTTCCTTTGCATTGCTGGTTGTTTAATAATCTTTCCTTCAAATATTTTTTTTTTTAATAAATGAGTGTTTTTTTAGAATTTAATATTTTATCGTAGACTGCATTTTTAAGGCTAGATTTCTCCAACAAACGTGTTTTTCCAAAATATTTTTTTTTATATTTATAAAGCAATGTTTTTGTAGATAAGTAAACGTAAAGTAAACGTAAAGTAGGACTATTTTAATATTTTACCTTTTTTCAATTTTGATTTTTTATAAATTTTTTTTTGATTAATATGTTAATTTTGTTTTTATTTTAATTTTTTTTAATTTTATTTTAATTTAATTTAATTTAATTTAATTTAAATTAATTTAATTTACTTTAATTTAATTTAATTTAATTTTATTTTATTTTGTTTAATTTAATTTAATATAATTTTATTTTATTTTATTTTATTTTATTTTATTTTATTTTATTTTATTTTATTTTATTTAATTTCATTTTATTTTATTTTATTTTATTTTATTTTATTTTATTTTATTTTATTTTATTTTATTTTATTTTATTTTATTTTATTATGTTTATTCTTTTTTATTGTGCTCGTTTTGTTTTATTCTATTTTGTTTATTTTTTTATTTTATTTTATTGTACTTCATTATTATAGAGTTTGTCGTGACTTCGCCCGCATGGATTTTAAGATTGTCTTTTATGCTTTTACGTTATTTATTTTTTGTAAGTTGTAAGCAGTTATGTTGAAGCGTATAAAGTCAAGAATAGTTTCTTTCTATGTTTCCAAATTTCAAGCAATACCGAACCAAATATATGATACTTTCAGGCAGATCGGTTCCCAAAAGTTTCGTTTAATTGAATTAATCGATATTTATTTATGTTTCAGATATCTCAGAAGAGATAAATCATAGAAAGAGAAGATGCCCTCATATTACCTACGGTAAAGATCTTGCCATATATATTCCAAATATTAAGCTCCAAAATCTCCATCTCTTTATGCATACCAAATTTAGCGAACATCTTCCAAGCTGAAGTAAATCTCCTAAGCAGTTCATCCCGCCATCATTATGAACTGGGTTCTCGTCCATAGGAACACTTTTGGGAATAAAAAAAAAAAACTGACGACTTGGCCTAGTTTGAAGCAACTCTCTAAATTTGCGGCGATACCAATACCCAAGTCCTTAAGAAAAGTTCAGGAAAATGCTTTATTTACATTTTGAATAACTGAAAGATCGAAATCCATATCTACATACTATACTTATGTAATTTAACGAAACAGATTTGGTCAAAATGTGGCATGGCCTGTCAATCAGAATGCCAGGGTTCAGCGCCAGTCCGACCAACAGTTATATAGGCAATGAATTTATTTCACCTTCGGCAGGGAAGGTCAATCACTCCGTGTGTAAATATATCTGACTTAAAATATAATAAATCATCAGGACGCTCAAATCGGAGCATAAGTGCCAATAATTCTATAATATATACATAAATATTTTCGTGTAAAAATCCGCTGTTACAAGACAAAACTTCACATCTCACTTTTACCAAGTTTTCAAATAAAAAATCAATACTGAGTCATAATCTTTCATAGATTGCTGGACGAATGAGTTTTTTTATAATCGAATTAAAGCTATTTTTAAGCATGCGATGACGACATACCAATTGACGTAATAGACGCGATGTCCTTATATCCTTTAACTAAATATATATATAATAAATTTATTGTAAGTTTCTTGGAGTGGGAGGAATATTAAATATGAATATATGCAATTGATTGAAATGCGAAGTGAATGAGTTCGGTGGACACCGACATATAATTAATATAATACACATACATACATACATACATATATACTTATACTAATATAATAAATATATGCATATAAAGAAATACACAAAGGAATATATGTATGTATTATATGTATGCGACTAGAGATAAGTATCGAAAGTAAAAACGTGTCTGCCCATACTCACATTTACTAAACTGACGCCGAAGCAGGCCACCCAACCCCAACCGCCATCGGGAGCAACTTTACGTGTGTGCTTCATACTTAACGTTGAATAGCTGGATTCACTGAGTTTTTATTTATTTATTTTTAATTTTCTCTTTTTTACTTATTTTTAACACTATGTGTGTGTGTGATATATTATTTGGTATTGTTTAGTTGGTTTGTGGTTTGTTGGTTGGTTGGTCGGGTGTGGATATGTTGATGTTGAATGAACTTCTGTTATTTTCAGAATCTAATTTTGTTCTTGTTATCAGCTTAGTTTGTTTTGCTATGTTTTCGATTTTCTGATTTTGTTTGGCACTAGACGGGTTGCTGTTGTTGGTTTTTATCGGTGGGTGTGTTTCTGCTTTAACTAAATTTGTTGTTTTCCTTTTTTCACCTTTTTATCCGCGCATATTGTTTACGCGACGTTACGGCTTTTGTGCGACGTTGTTCTTTTGAAATTCAATATTCTTTTGTTACTAATTTTTTTGTTTTTTGTTTTACTGACGCGGCAAATCGTTTCGACGATAGGAATTATTTTGCGTTGTTGATATATATTTGGGCACTTTTTTTTGGTCGAGGTGGGATTATGTTGTTTTTGGCGGCACTAGGTGGCATAATTTTACTAAATTAAAATATATATGTACATACTCGTATATAGGCATGTATAGGAATAAGTGCATATGCATGTGCTTGCATCAGAGGGGTTTAAGTATTGTTGTTGACATTTTTCCCATTGGACTTTGGCTTAAATTTCTATTAATTAGTCGTCGGCATTTGTATAAAGTAGATGAGTGTTGAACTGTGAGAAAAAGAGAAAAAATAATTAAAAAATAATTTAATGTTTTTTATTGATAAATTCTAATAAAAACTGGTTTTTTAGTATAAAATAGGAGAATTTAATATTTCTTCTTTTTTTTATTTATTTTTTTGCGCTTTAATGTTCATATCATCAAATTTTATTGCCAAATGTTGGTATGCATTTTTCCCCTGTAATTTACTTGCTGATTTAACAGTTTTTGACATTTTCACATGTTTGCTGGGCGTGAATTGATTTTGCTTTTCATCGGCCTTTGCTTAGAAGCGTTCGTTTCCGGTGTGTGCAAATGTAAATCGAATATGGCGGATGCCCAGTTTGGCATAGATTTTTTTCATCGCTGACAGCTTTCAGATTTGTTTGCGTTATTATAAAATGAGGGTAAATATGTTTTTAGTTCAGCAGGTAGAACACTTTTATAAATATTTAATTTAGTTGTTTACTTTTAATTTTTATTTTTACTTGCAGGCGATTGCTTGTACTACGTACTTGAGCTATTTTTTGATGTCTCTCATAGGAGGGGAAGCATACTTATCGTTAAAAAAATATAATATTTAATAAGACATTAATTTGTTCATCCCAAATAAAAATTTTTCGAGTATAATTATAATTTAATATTTTTTATTACGTTTTCTCCCTTGCATTTATTTAATTTAATTGAATTTTTTATTCTTTTGTATTTTTGTCATGTCTTTTTATTTAACTTTATTGTATTTTCATTTCATTTTTTTTAAATAATTTAATAATTTTATTTATTCTACATTTATAGAACATCACTTAATTTTATTTTGTGCTATTTTATTATAATTTATTTTTTTAATGTTAAAGTAATTTTTTGTTTATTGTACTAAATTTTTATTTTATGAATGAAACATTTTCCATTTGTATTATTTTATTTAGATTTTTTTTCATAGTTTAGTTATTTTAGTATTATATTTTAGTTATTTTTTCGTTTAATTTAATGGTTATAATTAATATTATTTTATTCTGGTTAACTTTTTAATCAAAGTCTTTCTTCTTTTTGAGTTTTATATTATATTGTTTTGTATTGATTCATTTAATTTCTTAATTTATTTTCTTATTTTGTAAGTTATTTTCGGTATTTCAGTATTGAAGATTTCTTAATTTTATTTTTTCTTGTTCATGTTAATTTTTTGTTATTTTTTTAGTTTATGTATTTTACTTAATTTTTTATTTTTTAGATTGTCTTATTTTTTCTCAATTTAGTTTTATGTTATTTACTTTATTTTATTTTGTTTTTTACTTTATATTATTTTTATACTATTTTTATATATGTTTTTACTTTTATTTCATTCAATTTTAGTTTATTTTATTTTATTGTATTGTACTTTATTTCACTTTATAAGTGTTATATTTAATTATTCTTACTCAATTCAGTTTAAGTTACTTTATTTAATTCAGTTATTTTTTTTTAAATTTAATTAAATACATGTTATTTTATTTTATTTTATTTTATTGTGTTTCGTTTGCCATCAAATATGTGCCATATTTTCTTTTTTGTGTTATTTATTTTATTTAATATGTAATATAATTATACATTTTGTATATTTAGTTTTACAATTTACATTTATTTTAAATATATGTTATTTCATTAAATTTATTTTATTTAATTTGTTGCTCTTTAACATTACTTTATTTTATTTTATTTAAAAAAAGATTAAGTTAATTTAGTTTAATTTCATTTCCGTTAAATTTTTTCTATTTATTTTATTTCTTTTCAACTCAATTCAATTCAATTAATTTTATTTCGTTTCGTTTCATATCCTTCCATTTCATTTTATTAAATTTATATTCATTTAATTTAATTTAATTTCATTTCATTTCGTTTCATATCGTTTCATTTTTTTTCATTTCATTTCGTTTCGTTCCGTTTCATTTCATTTCGTTTCATTGCATTTCATTTCATTTTATTTCATTTCATTTCATTTCGTTTCGTTTCGTTTCGTTTTGTTTCGTTCCGTTTCATTTCATTTCATTTCATTTCGTTTCGTTTCGTTTCGTTTCATTTCATTTCATTTAGTTTCATTTCATTTCATTTCATTTTATTTCGTTTCATTTCATTTCGTTTCGTTTCGTTTCGTTTCGTATCGTTCCGTTTCATTGCATTTCATTTCATTTTATTTCATTTCATTTCATTTCATTTCATTTCATTTCATTTTATTTTATTTTATTTTATTTTATTTTATTTTATTTTATTTTATTTTATTTTATTTTATTTTATTTTATTTTATTTTATTTTATTGATTTTATTTATATGATTATGTATCTACTGGGTTATATACTTGGAGGTTTAAGGTCATTAAATTATAAACTAAAATATTTTCTTTTTCTGCCTCCTACGCGTTTCGATACCATTCGTATCTTCTTCAGGGAGTCTAATTTATTTTGAAAACAAGAAAACATGATTAACAATCAGTATATATTACAAACATTTTTTCCAACAATATCGAAAGCACCTCGCATTGCTTTTCATATTTTATTTTACTTTATTTATTGTATTTTATTTAATTCTATTTTGTAAAAATTCTTTTATTTTGTTTTATTTAAATTATTTAACTGCATTTCGTGTGTTTTTATTTCTGTTTTTAATATTTTTAGGGAACCTGTAATTTTACAAAGCATTGTCATGATGACGTCAGTAAACTTCACTGCCTGCATTTAAGCCTACACACACATACAGCTACATTTTAACGCCTACAAAACTTTGTACATATGTACATACATATGTTCTTCGTGCATTTTCACTTTATTTGCACTCATAGCTGTTTGCATTGGGTGATTTTCCATTCCTCAAATTGCATAAATAAAATGAAAAAAAAAAAAAAAAATTAGCCAACAAAACTAATATAACAAGAACTGAGAAACAGTGAAGAAGCGTAGGCAGACAGGTAAGAAGCAAAAAATCACTGTGACTGAAATACAAGTGCAACGCGTACCAGAAATCTCATGAATAGTGGAATTGGCAAGCGTTGAAAGAAGGGCATGAAAGTTGATTCCATGCGAGTTTAAGCTTAAGCTTGGCTATTTGCGCATAAATTTACAAAAGATTTAGTATATATGTATGTAGATAGATATATATTCTTGGAATATTCCAGAAATTTGTATGGAAAATTTTGACAAACGTATATGTATGTATGTATGCATGTATAATCATTTTTTGCCTTGACTTTAAACATCTCAACTGTTGAATGCCAATTTTTAAGTGATTTTGGTGGCTTTGGTGCATATGTAGATACATATGTATGTAAGTATGTAAATTTAACTTTTGGTATATATATGTCTTTTATATAATATAAACATACTTATACATAAATTTAGTTGTTATTGGTCAGTCTTATTATACGATTTTTTCACTTTGGAAATATCCTTGTGTTTGTTGTTATTTTTTTTTTTACTTGTTAAACTACTTTTTTCACAGTTTATTCGAGTTCATTGGCAAAGCGTTTTGTTCTCTTTGTATTTTTTCAATCATTTTGCGGCCATCTTTCATCGTTTATTTAAAAAAATTACACAAAAGTCATATGTATTTTTAATTAATTTTATATGTAATTTTTCATTGCATTTTGCACGTCAAAAACTATTGAAAATATTACATGTTTCACCGCCCAATTCCAACGTTCCGACTGATTGACTCTGTATACAGTGTCTGAACACAAATTCATTTACACTACGTAAATATACAAAACTATAAATATATAAACACATTTGTATGTATGTATGTATGTATGTATGTGAATGCGCTCAGCTGACTCTGAGCCTGTGTTCTTGTTATTGTACTACATACATATAATTAACTAGTTCTATATATATATATATATATATATATATATGTACAAAATATATAGACTGCACTTCATGGGTATTCTTTCACTTGTCTCTATCTGCTCTTATTGCTTTTTGCTATATTCTGTACCATTGCGTTTGATTTACCAAAGAAGACTAAAACCATATGTTTTTGCCGCAGCTACTGTTAGTACTGCTTTTGTAGAGAAATATACATATATAAATATACATACACATACATATGTATTTGTACAAGTGCACATACATACTCGCATGTTTGTATGTATGAATGCAATATTGAGATTGTTGTTGTAGTTTATGGATATTGCCAGTAGTGGTATTGGTAGTGATCTTTGGAACTTCACCGCGGTAAGTGAGTGAGAGAGAGAGAGATGAATTAACGGGAATACAATTTTGGCCATTACAACCGGCAATGTCAGTCTATAAAGTAAATAAGTAAGTAAGAGTTTGGTTCGGGTAGCATCGAATATTAATTACCCAAATGCTTGGGCTAAATGTTCACCATAAGCAGCGATTCTTTAAAAAAAATTCGAAAATTTCCCCAACGATCAGTGAATGAAATTAATACAAACTGAGAGGAGGGAGCACTTGTAAATCCTGCTAAAATACGGTGATAGATTGCAAATCCAAATCCATAATCGAGTAGAGTCAGTAGACGTTCCCGACCTGACTTTGACGAAGTTCGAACAGACGTGTACTCGCTGGAATAATAACAAAGCGGAGAAGCTTGAGGTCTTAATTGTTGAACAATGCAAATAAACTGGCAAAGAACTGATAGGTCCACTTATCAGCTTCCTTGAAGAATATTGTCGGATGAAAGCATGTCTGAAGATTGGAAGCAGGATGTGCTCTGTACAATTTACAAAACGGGTGACCCGGAAATCAGCGCCATTAACCGTGGGTTAAGTCTTTCTAATATCGCTTAGGAAGTCTTGTCTGGCATTTTACATGAAGAACTAAAATCCACCGTCAATGAATTGAACAGATCTTTTCAATATAAGTTTAGACCGGGTAGCTCGCGAACAATCTTTAGTACCAAAAAGAGGTTTCACACAAGGTAATTCTCTTTAGTTTGACTTCTTCAAATCAATGCCAGAGAAATTATTAATTTTGAATGAGAATACTGTAAGCAGGACACTTGCGCCCTAGCTTAAAAGTCATTTTGGACTGCCATAACATGGAATCTTCATCAACACCAGCAATAGTTTCAGTCTGGGAATCCAAAACAGAATAAGTAGATTACTTGAGTCTGCAATTGAAAAGTTAAATTTTCACTCGACAACTTTTCAAGTCGTTAATCAAACCCACGCGCCTTTGTAGTACAGCGGCATGGACGATCACGATATCTCATGAGTCCTTATCAGGAGTTTTGGAGAGAAAAGTTTTGTGGTTTATGCGATTTATGGTCCTTACCCATACGGTAAGGTACGACGATATGGACATAATTCAGATAATAATAAAGAGACATAAACTAAGCTGACTATGACATATCGTCCGTATGGTCGAAAACTCTGCAATCAGAAAGTATTCGCTGCAATACCTGTTGGTGGTTGTAGAGGAAGATCTCCACTACGTTAGACATACCCAAGCTTCTTTTAGTGAGTACAAAGTTCGCTTTATGGTTACATGAACAAACTTAATAAAACGTGAACATAATACAGCGTTCATTCAAAAGCCTCAACAGCAACAGAGAAAGAGAGTGAGTAATAGAGCGTTGACAGGTGTTGTGAGGCTACTCTCAACACGCGTAGAGCATAGATTTTTTTTTTACTCTTGCCTGCTTTGCTTTACTGTGTGTTGCATTGAGGTGGGCATAGTAATGTATCTTCGGTTACGCCGGGCAGCGCAACAGAGAGCTTCCCAAAACCAGCTTATGCTGCACAGCTGATGCGCCGTCATCATCATTATTACTATTGTTGGTTGTTTGCACGTTTATTGCACGTTTTTCCTTGGCTATTATACTCTAGCCGAGGTTCAAAGTACATGTGCCGTCGTCTCATATGCTCTTATGCAAATGCACATACAGATACAAACGAGTATATTTAAGTAGATTTGTATGTGTTCACACTTTGTTGATATTTATGTTTTTTCCGGTATAATTTTTTCTGCTACCGTAACGAATTTCTCCATAAAAAATGCTTGCAATAACAGAGAAAAAATTAACAAAAAAAAAAAAATGAGTAGAAAAAAGCTACCGAAACTAATAGTCGCTGGTTGGAGTCACGTGCTGCCTTTGTAGTCGCCGAAGTGGTGCAATTTTTGTAAAAATTTTTAATTTTTTTTTGTTTTTTTTTTTTTTTTTTTTTTTTGTATAATTTATATAACAGTTTATAATTTCGCCATTCAGTTCATAAAAACAAGGAAATGTTTATTAATTAAAATATTTTATTTAGTTTTTTAATTTTGCATGCACAAAATTCACTTCATACATATTTATATATTGTAGTTTCAAACATCTTGTATATATATATGTAAGTGGTCTTCTGTGTGTGTGCATTTTATTTTGTATTTCGTTCGTATGCACGATGGAAAAGTAAACATTACAAAAACTTGGAGGCAGCAAATAACGTCAGGCAGCTCTACCGACTTGACTGACTGTGCGCTTGGCAGTTTCGCAATTTTCCTTTCACATTGCACTGATTTTTATTATTTAGTCCATTTTTAGCACTTTCGTTGTACACGTTTTATTATTTCACAAAATTTTTATTTTGTTTTCCTTTTCAATTGGGAATGTGAAATTTTACGTAGTTTTTTGAAATAACAAGATTTGCGCGTTTGCATTGATATTTTGGAAAAATAAACATAATAAATTTTATAAAACCAGTTTTTTCTTATTATAAGTTAGTTTTAAATTTTTTTGCAATAATTAAAAAAATATACGAGCAAAAATATTTTTAAAAACGTTATTGTTTTAAATGCAATTGCTTTTTTTTTAAATAATTTATTACAATGACTCGAAAGCAAAACCACTATTTTTTTATGATTTATTTTTAAATATTTAAAACAGTAAATTTATATATCATCAGTTTTCTGTTTAATGAAATTGTATTATTAATAATCTTTCATTACTGTATTTTTTATAATTTTGCTTAGAAATTCATGGAGTAACCCAAGAGTAATATTCAAAAGTTATATTTTTGTTAAACCTATTCTTTAATTGTAGTTAAATTTTTAACATTGCAAATAAGAGCAATTTTATTTTAAAGAAACTTTTATTTTTCTTTCTGGCATTTTTTCATTTTCGCTTATATTAATTAGGTAATAAATTATTATAGTTAATTAAACATTGTTCTAGAATAGTAATCCAAAAAAAAAATTTTGTTGTTATATTTTTTATTGTTTAATTTTGATTACAAAAAACTATGATTTATTTAAAATTAATTTTCAAATTAACGTAATTGCATTTCTTTCACTGAGATTATTTAATTTTTTTTTTAAATTAATTTTTAATATAAAAATGTATGTATATAATATATATTTTGCATTATTAACTATTTTTCCCTCATACATTTTTTTTAATTTATCCAGTACTGAAAAATATTTAAATAAAAATTAAATTTTATTGCATAATGTTTTTTTTTATTTACATTTTTATTTGGTTGAAATTTATATATTATTTTACATCAACTTTTAACTTGAAGCAATTATCTTATTCAAATTATATTATTTTAAATTTTTTTATTAAATTTTTTGTATTTATGAAAAAGTAATTTCATAACTTATTTTAATTTATAATATCAAATTTAATTTAATTTTTTTTTTTTTAATTAATTGAGCTTGATTTTATTTAATTTCAATATTAGTTTATATTTTGCTTAACTTCATTTTTACTAAACTGAATTTTGTATTATTTTAATTCATTATTTTATTTGATTTTTATTTAAGTTTTTTTATATTGTAAAATTCATTGTAATTTTTTTTAGTAATTTTTTATTTTATTTTATTCTTCATTTCTATTTTTTATATAATATAGCTCTTTTTTTTTGAAGTTTATTATTTTAATTTAATTTTTTTTTGTGTGTTAGTTTTTTTGGTTTAAAAAAATTAAATTTCTTAGCATTTTATAGCATTTTTTTTAATTTAAGTTGATTCTCTTAACTCATGCTATTTAATTTTGTTTAATTTATAATTATTTTTATTTAATTAATTTACTGTATTTTGCATTATTTTATTTTTGTTTTTGTAATTTAGTTTATTAATAACAACAATAAATATTTTGTGTATATTATTTTTCAAAAGTTTTTAAAAAGTAGTGCACGTCACATTTTAATTTTAGTTTCCGATTTTTCCAATTGGGATATAAATTTTTTTTATTTTAAAATTATTTAAGTAATTAGTTCGGTTTTATAATTTTGAATTTTTTTCGTATACTTTTTTTGGTCAGTTATTTCTGTTCGATTTTTAACATTAAAAAAATTGACAAAGGGATATTTAATTTTTTTATTTTGCATTTATTTCATTATATTTTTATATTAATAATATTTAATTTTATTTGTGTTATGTTTTTTTATTTAAAGCCATATCAAATGCTTTAACGGAAATTTCATTTAATAATAAAAATGAAATAAATTTGCTTCATACCATAATTGTTTTTTATATTATATATAATCTCAGCTTTGATTTTATTATCTTTTTTTTCATAAAATACCTGACTTTTCTGATTACTGAAAGACAGGGATTTTTATGCATAAGTTATGATCAACAAATATAATATAGATAGTTATTTTAATTTAATTTAAAATTTATATCCTTTATAAAAATTAAGTAAGAAACTTCAAAGGAAATCTTATTTTAATACTAAATTAAAATTTTTAGATTAAATAAAAAATCTTGAAATATAAAAAATTTAATGTTAATGTATTGTGTAATATAAAAAATTATATTTTTTTTAATATTTTTCCTTTTACGTATTTTTATTAAGACTTTTAAGTTTTTTATTGACTGGAAGCCAGTCGAAATGATTTCATTTTCACGTTGTTATCACTAATTGCTTATCATCTTTAATTAAATTTATTTATTTTTTAATTTTAATGCAACTTTTTTCATATTATAAACTGTAATCTTATTTTTTGCAATCTTTTTGTATTCATTAAGAGGAAACATTATTTGAACGTCGCAGCTCTTTTTAATATTTTAATATAAGTTGACATTATTTTAAATTAATTAACGTTATTTTTTATATTTTTCTTGATTTTTTAAAATTCTTCTAATGTTCTGTTCTGTATATATGTATATATTTGGTTTTGTTATGAGAGATAATGAAACAATAAATTATTGATGATTTCTTTTTTTAATTTTTTCGTTTAATTTTTCACACTCTCCTATATTCTTATAATCAGCAGAACCTGAATATAAAATATTTTGTTGTGAATTTTTTTTTCTATCTAAGTTAAATGTATTGAAACTGTGCTTAAATTTTGCCATTACTTTACACAGCGCACAAACAACTACGCGTGTTTAGAAAATACCTTTTTACATATACATATATACTTTCAAGTATACACATATATTCCTTCTAACAACTTCAATACAAAAGCTTCCATTAAAATTCTATTCACTTTTCTCCACACTGTGATTCAATTCAATATTTATAAAAATATGTATTACCTATAAAATCACGATATACATTTGTATGTACATATGCATGTACATATTCTCCCCAAATTCTAAAATTTTCTCTTTATTTTCTTTTAAATTATTTAAAATTCATCCTTTATTTATTTTTTCGGCAACGTTTGAACAACACAAGAACGACGCGAAGTTACGACAACGTTTAAAGTCGTACTGAACTGAACTGAACTCAACCGAACTAAAATGGAAATTAACATTGAAACTCACGAAATTCGCTCGCTGTTACCTCCGTTTATTAACTGCGCTGCCTTTAGTCGTCGAGGAATGCTGAGCGCTTGTTGCTGTACGAGTGTGCTGATGACAATTTCATTGTCGTTGGCGTCATGTGAGCGCGAGTGTATGTGTATATTAGTATGTTTGTGTATATGTGTGTGCTTATTGCAAATGTGTGTTGGTGCATCTGTTTCACCAACACTATTTCTGTGCGAAATATGTAACAGCAACAAGCTGTTAACCCTAAGCAGGCGAAGGAGAATTTTGAAAAATACATACTCTTTGATAAGAGCAATGGAAAGTAGTTGGAATTTAATGTCAATGCTACTGTGTGTCCGCTGAGATTGATCGACTGCAAGTCTTCCATTATCTTTTCTCCCCTGAACAAAATAAATCATTCAAAAATCGAAAGGAAAGACGCTAGCGATTGCCAAGGGATCGCATAAGGATTCTTATTCTATTCTGCTATCGAAACATTTTTTCTATATCAGACATCATAACATAACCAATAGGCGAAGAAGTCCATCCACGACCGTAAATTGGCAAATAATGAGAAAAGAACTCCAAGGATCTTCCGCTGTGCAATCAGCACTCGGCAAAGCTCGGTTTAAAGTCACGTCAAATTTGCTCTTAGAGCGAGCTTCTGAACAAAGCGACGCTAAGCTTCAACGGGTTACAAGCAAATTAAACAAGATGAGACAGACCGGAATCTAGAATTCGAGAGACTCTCTTCTTCTCCGGTGCGCGGAACCAACTGTCGTGTGAATCGCGGTTGTCATTAAAGCTTAAGTGGCAACGAAATTCCCAAGTAACTAGTCGGCTGCACTTGAACAAAGAATCGGCCAGGAATATCGGTCTATTCTGGACGTTGGTTTCCAGCAAGTAGAGAGATAAAGATCAAATTATTGCATTGATTGGCTGGGTTGGCAAATATCTATAGCTTCCTGGGCTTTGGTCGATATATAGTTTTTAGATTTCGTGGGTTATCTGTTCGATTTTGTTTGAAATGTTTGGGGCTTGCAAATTGAGTGGAGTTTGAGTGCTGACCAAGAGTCTACCCCAACCGACGAGCTAAATACCAGGGTAATGCTAACATTCACAGCCCAGCCCCATCAAAGTACCACTTTATGACTTCATTATATAAAATGTCATCTACATTGGTGATACATCTACGCCCGCATTTAAGAAGCACCTTTGCTTTGCTGCCTTATCTGAGCAGAGCGGCTCCCACGCACATCAGAAATAAAGTACGGGAACATAAAGATTCCATTTGGCAATATGTGACAGGATGCGACGTTCTACCCACAGGCCTTGAGCTTCATTCATGGAGATGTAGTCATCATCCTCCTCAATTCTCTTTCGGTTTATGACGTCATCAGACAATTTGTGATGGGACAGGCGAGAAACTCGAGTTACACCAAAGAGTACTTTCTGGCATAACTAAGGTCTCTACCTTGAAATGCACACCGTAAACCCTACAAGCATTGAGTCCGCACGACACTAACTACCTTTTGCGTACCCTCAAAAACCAACTGGTCTAATACTCCTCCGATTCTTACTCAATTATTAATTTCATGGGTCTACCTAGCTGCTGCAACAACAACTGAAGGTATTCAAAGAAAGAAAAATGGTTGAATCACCACTCAAGAAAGTGGACAGCAATCCATAGTCAGCCAGACAACAAAGAGAGCAGCACAAATGCATAGTATATGTAAATATGTCCATTTTCGTTTATACATACATACATGCATATGTATGTAGGTGGGTGAGGACGCTAAGATATTATTTACCCTTTGGTAGTTCACTAAATACATATAAACAAATCAAAATGTGATTTATGGCACTGAAATTAGTCTAAGAACGTCAGCTAAGATAAGGCAGGTTGGGAAGACGGTGAGGAATGAATATAAAAATGTAGCTCTTAGGTACATACATACTCACGTACATTAAGATCGTAAAGTTTCCGGAAATCGTCATTTAAACTGCCTGCGCTTACTATTTTCCAGCGCTTTTTTGTTGTAAAGTTGGTAGCACTGTCCTTAATTACTATGCCCAAAATGGGCGCAATCTACCGGACAGCAGTTGAAATCAGTCGATCTCAGTTCACTCTGCGAATTTTCTTTTACGACTTCCATCGAGTCGAAACGGAAACAAAACAAAGTCGCATGCGGCCCAGTCCGGTGAATACGGCGGTTGATCAATAGTATTGATCATGTTTTAGTCTTAAAATCGTTCACCACTACAGCTTGGAACGATAGCGCATTAAAACCCCCCCTTCCCTGCGGGTTAGGGGTTCAAGAATTGACCCGCGGGAATGCATGTCTGTCGTAAGAGGCGACTAAAATCCAATAGTTCCCTCTTCAGTCCGATCTTTACACCGGAACGACCCAGATTTTTATCCGGCCAAGGACTGTCACTCCCGCAACATTTCTAAAAAAGTACTTTGGGGAATATTTTTGAGGTTACAACAACAACACATGGCGCATTATCGACATGAAACTTTCCGGACATTGTTGGCCCACATTTCCAGCCGTTCACGACGGATGATAAACCAAACCGCGCATATCGAAAAATATACAATTTCCGGAAACTTCCGGGTCTTGATGTATGTATGAATGTACTTACTTATTATAACGTGGATTATTCACTTCTACTTTCTTTCTGCAAAAGCAACAAATTGCATTGCTGAGATATAGAAGAGCAAATTTACATACCATATGTACATGCACACATACATACATACATACATGCATACATACATACATATATACATATGTAAATATTACAAAAGCAAATATATACAAATGTATCTTGGCCAAGCTGTCAACGCACAGCTGTTGGCAAAACCAGTTTCAAATGATATTCAACCGGTACTGAACAAATAAGCATTGAGGTGAGAACAAATAAACAGATAGTGAGAGAGAGAGAGAGAGAGGGTGAGCGCGTATACCAATGAACTCACGGCGTATACATGTGTTTACTTTTTCCTTTCATTGTTTTTTTACAAAAACTGTTAACTTCTTTGTCTCTCATCAACATTCAGTTGCGGCTGGTCATGCCAACTCTCTGATGTTCTGTTCAGTCAGCTGTTTTGCTGATATCGATTTTTGTCCTCCCCCAATTTACTTGCTTACAGCTGTGAGCTAGCGCACCAGTTTTTGTATGTGTGTGTGCGTGTGTTAGTGCAGGCGAAATGTAAACAAAATTCATATTAACAGCGTTCGGTGAAGATTCTCATTCGGTTATGTCCAGAAACGAGTGAATTTATTGTTGTTTTTTCAACAGTACAAATGTTTCATATGTAAATACATAATTATGTACATATGTATACTAAATCAAGCTATTTCAATATTTGCGCACCACTTCTTCGCTGAGCAACAGCTTAGGACAGAATAATAAGAAATTGGTTTATTTTATAGCAGCGTGAAAAATTTGTATACATAATTTAAGTGCGTGTGTGTGTGTTGCTGCTTAAGCTGCGCAGAGAATCTATAATATTATATTTGTAGATAGATTCGCTGGTTACGTTGCCTGCTTGGCTTTATTGCGCCTAAAAGTATACTATATATTTTAGTAAAATGTTTTAAAAATGTTTGCATGACAAACAATATGGCATCTTCTTACACACACTAATATAATTAAAAGTATGCTTGCTAGTTTGAATGAAAAATTCTTAGTGGATTAGAATTTTTCCAGAAATCAATTAATTAATTTAATAATAATTTTTAATTTAATAAAAAATTCTATTTGCTTTTCAGTTTTGTTGTACTAATTTTATTCTTTTTATTTTATATATTTTTATTTTATTTTATATTACTTGACTTAGTTTTTAATTTTGCTTGCTTGCCTGACTTTGTATAATTTTATTTTATATTTTTTGCTTTATTTTATTCTATTTCATTTAAATGACTTTAATTTATTTATATTATTTTGTTTTATATAATTTTTCTACATTTTTTAATTTATTTTATTTTACATTTGTTTTATTTTATATTATTTTATTTTATTTTAATTATTTTTATTTTATTTAATCTAATTATATATTACATTATACTATTTTATTTGAATTTATTTCATTGCTTTAGATTTTATTTATTTCTTAATTTATTTTAATTTATTTTATTTTATGTTATTTAATTTTATTTGAATTAATGGTAATTTATTTTTATTACTTTATTTTATTTTATTTTACATTTGTTTTATGTTATTAAATTTTTTTAAATTAATTTCATTTTTTGTCAGTTTCTTTTATTTTTATTTGTTTTTATTTTATTGTTTTTTGTTTTATATTACCTTATTTTATTTTATTATCTTTTTTTACTTCATTTTGCTTTATTTTGCTTAAAATATTTTGCATTGCGCATATTATTTTATTTTTTTAAATTTTCTAGGTCCGGAGTATAAGGTGAGTGCATTAGGACCTCCCATCCGAGCTCCTGGAGCTTCTGGTGCTTCACCAAAGATGTGGCCTGTCGTTGTCCTGATAGAACACAATTCGGCCTTTGTTGATCAAAGATGGCCTCTTCTGAATGAAAGCTGCCTTCAAGCGGTCCATTTGTTGCCTTTGGGGGGCGAATTGAGCGTTTGGCCATAGGGGAGCAGCTCGTAGTAGATGATTCCTTGATTCCTTGCCATTGCCACCAAACACACTACAAAACCTTGCCAGCCATCAATCCGGTGTTTGCAACCGTCTGGGCCGCTTCCCCGAGCTTTGACCACGACCGTTTGCGCTCGATGTTGTCATAAGTGACCCATTTTTCATCGTCAGTTACAATCCGTTTCAGAAACTGGTCAATTTTGTTGTGATTCTGCAGCGATTCGCAGATGGGAATTCGGTCCATCATGCTTTTTTGTGTTAGTTCGAGCTTCTTTTTGAATCCAAGGTTATGCAAATGGTTCCAAACGATTTTCTGGCTTATCTTTAGTTCCTCAGCAATTTAATAAGTGCTCACGTGACGGTCTGTTTCCACTATTTCCATGAT